CACCGCCTGAGCTCTGCAAGTGCAGCATTTTCCAGAATGAAGCAGAGAGTGTTTGAGGACCGGGACATCCGTAGGGAGACCAAGGTGCTTGTCTATAAAGCTATTGTCCTCCCAACCCTGCTCTATGCCTGTGAGACGTGGACTGTCTACAGACGTCACATGCAACTCCTGGAACGATTCCATCAGCGCTGCCTCCGGAAAATCCTGCAAATCTCCTGGGAAGACAAGCGGACAAACGTCAGTGTGCTGGAAGAAGCAAAGACCACCAGCATTGAAGCGATGGTCCTCTGCCATCAACTCCGCTGGGCCGGCCACGTTGTCCGGATGCCTGACCACCATCTCCCAAAGCAGTTGCTCTACTCTGAACTTAAGAACGGAAAACGGAACGTCGGTGGACAGGAAAAGAGATTGAAAGATGGGCTCAAAGCCAACCTTAAAAACTCTGGCATAGACACTGAGAACTGGGAAGCCCTGGCCCTTGAGCGCTCCAGCTGGAGGTCAGCTGTGACCAGCAGTGCTGCAGAATTTGAAGAGGCACGAATGGAGGGTGAAAGAGAGAAACGTGCCAGAGGAAGGCGCGTCAAGCCAACCCCGACCGGGACCGCCTTCCACCTGGAAACCAATGCCCTCACTGCGGAAGAAGATGCAGAGCAAGAATAGGGCTCCACAGCCACATACGGACCCACAAGGAAATCCATAATGGAAGACCATCTTACTCGTCCAACGAGGGATCGCCTAAGTAAGTAAGTAAGGGCACTTTCACACTACAGAATTATAGCACTATTGTTCCACTTGAACTGTTTTGACTGCACCCTAGGGTGCCCTAAATGCATTTCTCTAAATTTCAAATCCAGGGATGCCATAGGGTGTTGCCATGGCAGTTGAAATGTAACCATAACATCATAATTTGTAGTGTGAGCAGGGCTACGAGAAGACATTAAAGGCTTACAATGTTCTTCGGTCTTTAGCTATGAAACTGGAGAGAGCTCAGTTCCTTTCTGTGCTTCTCTGACCAAGAAGTCTACAAGATTGTGGATTTTTCTTGAATTCAAGAAACTACAGCATTACAAACTGCTTATATTTGCAGTGTTTGGTAATCCAATTGTTTTGGACTCCAATTTCTAGAAATCCCAGCCATCTTGGACAATAGTCAAGAATTCTGGGAGCTGAGGTCCAGTACAGCCCAAAGACCAAAGTTTGGAAAACACTGTCTAATGCAAAGCATGCTCTAGATCAGTGGTTCTCAACCTGTGGTCCATTGACCACCAGTGGTCCACAAGAACTAAAATGTGGTCCGTGGCCTCACTGTTACTACACTGTTGCAATAAGAGCAACTGGTCTTGCAAAATCCCAGTAAGGTCCCTTCTTCACTGCCAAATAATCCAGATTATAAAAGCAGATAATCCATATTATTTGCTTTGAACTGGATTATATGAGTCTACACTGCCATATAATCCAGTTCAAAGCAGATGATCTGGATTTTATATGGCAGTGTAGGAGGGGCCTAAGTTATTAGTGAGCATAATCAAGGCTCTGAATGAAACATTCAGTGACAGCCTTCCTTTGTTCAGCTCAGGGAGTAATATGTAAAACTGAAGGTATTTTCCTAATAATTAATAGCGGGAAAGATGCAATAGCAATAAGTCTTGGCATCACTGTACATTAGAGAAAAGATCATTGAATTGCATTTCAACAGCTCAGGTGTGGATATCCATCAAAATCATACCAATTTTTCCAGAGGGAGATTCTAACACATCTACAGATGAAGAAAATGTCATTTCTATGAGAAATCATGTGGATTTAGGGAGTGCACAGGTGACTTCGAAGTACTGGCAGTTTGAAATAAGTGGTGCTGATCTTAGCAGGGATTCTCAGAATGACAAATGGGGGGAAAGCCATTATCTTCTGGCACCCCAACTTCATTCTGATAGCTGCTTCTCATGAGAAATGTACTTGTCTGGCAAGAGATTCTTCTCTGTAAAGACAACATATGCTGCTCTTCAAACGCACTCATGCACATATAGGCAGTCCCCCAAGTTACAAACAAGACAGGTTCTTAGGTTTATTCTTAAGTTGAATTGGTATGTAAGTTGGAACAGATACATTTTTAAAGTGCAGTTCTAGCCAAAAATATATATTCGTAAGCTTTGGATAGCATAGGGAAGGGTTAACACCCCTGTAGTGTTCGTTTTGCTATCTGTGCCCCTGTTCAGAAGATTTCACCTCAGTTTCTGTCCCTGTGACAAGAGTGAATTTCTTTATTCACTTTCATAGGGTTCTCGAGCACAAGTCAAAGTGCTGGTCTTGGCCCAGCTTATCTGTCTGAACATAACTCCCTCTACGTCCTGCCTCGGAGTCTAAGATTGTCCAGGAAGGCACTGCTCTCAACCCCACCTTCTTTGCAAATGCCTTTGGCAGGGATGAGAGACAGGGCTTCTTGGTGGTGGCTCCCCGCCTGTGGAACACACTCCCCAGCAAAATTAGGTCAGCTCCATCCCTCCTTTCCTTTAGGAAGAAGCTCAAATCATGGTTTTGGGATAGGCATTTGGGCAGCAGGCTCGACAGCAATTAAAATGTTTTTGAGATCTGACTATGGACAGGCTTTGGACTGGGTCATTGGTCGCTGATTTGGACTTGCATATGGCTATATGGTTAATAATAATGTTTTAATTGGATTTTAACCTAATGTTTTTATCTACTGTGTAATTTCGTGTTGTATTGTATTTTTGTATGTGTTAGCATGAAATTGTTGCTGGTTGTAAGCCGCCCTGAGTCCTCCCTTGGGGGTTGAGGAGGGGTACAAATGTTTGAAAAATATAAATAAATAAATAAATAAATAAATAAATAAATGCGGCTCCAAAACACAGCCAATGGGAAAGTTTAGTTGTACAGGTTGAGTATCTTTTATCCAAAATATTTGGAACCAGGAATGCTTTTGATTTCGGATTCAGAGTCTGAAACATCTGCATATATAGACAATCCCTGAGTTACAGACATCCAACTTACAAACGACTCATAATTAAGAATGGAGTTGTGATAAAATCAACCCCTTGGAAGGGAAATTCCCTCCTTAAAGAGTTATCATGGGGAAAAGATGGCTTAACTGAATCTTTATCACCAATCCTTGTTTCCACAACAAGCCAAATTGTTCAAAATCAGTTTATCAAAGGGACAGAAAGTGAGGTGAAATCTTCTGAGCAGGGGCATAGACAGTAAAACAAATGGATGTTAGTTCTTCCCTATGCTATCCAAAGTTTGTGTGTGTGTATGTATATGTTTGTATATTTATGTATGTATGTATGTATGTATGTATGTATGTATGTGTATACACACACACACACGCACACACACACACACTAGCCGTCCCCTGCCACGCATTGCTGTGGCCCAGTCTGTGGTGCTCATCTCCATTTCTAAGCTGAAGAGTCAGCATTGTCCGTAGACACCTCCAAGGGCATGTGGCCCACATGACTGCATGGCGAGCCATTATCTTCCCGCTGGAGCGGTACCTATTGATCTACTCACGTGTTTTCGAACTGCTAAGTTGGCAAACTCTGGGGCTAACAGCGGAAGCTCAGATTCAAACCTGCGACCTTTCGGTAAGCAAGTTCAGCAGCTCAGCGGTTTAACCCACTGTGCCAGCAGGGATTCCTGCCAAAAGGATACTCAGTATGTATTTTCATATATACAATATCTTGGAGATGGGACCTGAGTCTAAATAGGAGACCAATGTGTTTCATATACATCTTTACACACATTGCCTCACTCTTAATTTTTTTTAAATATTTATGTGCCTGATACCTTTAAGATAAGGGATTTTGGATAAGGGATACTTAACCTTGTAGAAACAATGGGTTTGTACTTTTTTCGGCCTATATGGCGATGTTCTAGAAGCTTTCTCTCCTGACCTTACAACCTCTGTGGATGCCTGCCATAGATGCAGGTGAAATGTCAGGAGAGAATGCTTCCGGAACATGGCCATATAGCTCGAAAAACCTACAACAACCCAGTTGTTCCGGCCATGAAAGCTTTGGACAATACCTTGTAGAAACAGTTTATAGTTATACATTTTTTTTAAAAAAAAACAATTCGTGTGAAATAACGTCTGTGGACACTTAACCATCAGAAAGCCAATGTGTCTCTGCCTCAGCCACTCTTGGGGGCAATATTAGAATAGTTCAAGATCAGTGAAACACAACTTATGCTGGGTTGTTGTAAGTTTTTTGGGCTATATGGCCATGTTCTAGAAGCATTCTCTCTTGACGTTTTGCCTGCATCAATGGCAGGCATCCTCAGAGGCTGTGAGGATCAGGGAGACACAACTTATGCTTGGTTGTTGGAGGTTTTTCGGGCTATATGGCCATGTTCTAGAAGCATTCTGTCCTGACGTTTTGCCTGCATCTATGGCAAGCATCCTCAGAGGAGGGAACGTTTCTAGAACATGGCCATATAGCCCTAAAAACCTCCAACAACCCAGTGATTCCGGCCATGAAAGCCTTCGACAATACATTCAACTTATGCTGTTCTTCCAGTTGCAGCACAAGGAGAAGGGCAAGAGGGCGCTCGAAGGGCAGGGATTCCCCGCTCGAGGCACAAACCTAGCTGTGGAGCCAGAGCTCCCGTGGAGATGCAGATGCGGCTATGCACTCGGGAGCTTGGGGTGCGTCTACACTGCAGAGTTAACGCAGTTCAACACCCCTTGGGTTGCCATGAGTGCGATGGAAGGCTGGGGCTTGCAGTCATCACCAGCACAGCACTTCTTGGGAGGAGGCTTTGCAATAGGGCAACCCTCGGGTTTCTGTAGCATTGAGAGGGTGCCAAACTGCGTGAAGTCCACAATGTGGATGCAATAGAGAAGGTCTATGGGAGGGGTAGAGGGGAGGGGGGGAATGATGGTGCTGATTGGTTTTGGGAGGATTCCCACCCAAGGGGCGTGCAAGCTCCTCCTCCTCCTCCTCTTTCGCCCCTTTCTTTCTTTCTCTCTCTCTCTCTCTTGTCTTTCTTTCTTTCTGTCTGCTCACTGCTCACCCGGCTTGGCTGCCCCCGGTGGCCCGGGAGGAAGGGAACCGCCGTTGCACAGGAAGTGGCAACACACACTCCCACTTAGACACACACACACACACACACACACAGAGTCCCTCTCTCTCTTTCCCTCCTGTATGCTCCTCCAGCCCGGGAGGCATCTGCCCCTGCCGCACTCCTCCGGGCCAGAAGAAGAAGAAGAAGAAGGGCTCCTCCTCCGCCGCCTGCACCATAGGGCCGCGCTCCCTCGCCTTGTCTCCTGCCTCCTGCCGGCCTCCTCCTGGGCCAAGGCGATCCGGGCGGAGGCGGTGCCCGGAGAGAGACGCTCTTGCTTCGTGGAGGAGGAGGCGGAGGAGGAGGCTGGAGCCTCTGCACCGGAGCTGGAGGCGGAGAAGGGGAACCAACCAAACACCCCCAGGTCGGTGCTGCTCCTGCTCCTCCTTTCCTTCCCCTTTTCCTCCTTCTTTCAGGGCTTCCCTTCTTCTTTCTCACCCTCCTCCTCCTCCCTTTCTTCCTCCCTTCTCTCCACGCAGCCGCCGCTGCTTTTTTGCTGCAGTCCTCGTCGCAGTCCGCTTCCCAGGCTTGCCAACTTCTCCCTGCACCCACCCTCTTTTCTGTACAAGGGGCACCCATTTCCCCCTTCCTCCTCCTCCCCATCACACTGCATTGTTGGGAAGGAAAAGGGGAGGAAAGGGGGGCCTCCTCCCCCTGTGCATTCATATCCCTCCCTTTCCCCCCTCCTTAGGCCTCATGAGGTCCCATTTGCTTGGCATCCTCAATGGAGGGGGAATGCATATGCACCACTTGGAATGCCAGGGCTCAATGGGATGAGGCCCTGGGAGTTGTGGGCCTGCAAGCCTGGTTGTGGTCTTCCTGCAAAGTGCAGCTGTAGCTTGAACTGCCCTGGCCTCAAGGTGTTGTAGTTTGAGGCAGGTTGGCAGAGTACAGCACTCCCATGGTCCCATAACTGCACTATGGAATGGGAGTTGCAGCTTGAACTGCCCTGGCTTCAAGGTGTTGTAGTTTGAGGCAGGTTGGCAAACTATCACTCCCATGGTCCCATAACTGCACTATGGAATAGGAATAGCAGCTTGAACTGCCCTGGCTTCGTGGCAGTGGGGTCATGGGAGTTGCAGTTTGAGGCAGTTTGATAGACCATGTCACCCCCATGATCCCATAACTGAACTAAGGGGTGGGAATTGCAGCTTGGACTGCTCAGGCTTCAAGGTGGTGGGATCATGGAAGTTGTAGTTTGAGGCAGGTTGGCAGAGTACAGCATTCTCATGATCCCACAGCATTGATCTCATAATTACACTATAGAATGGGAATTGCAGCTTGAACTGCCCTTGCTTCATGGCAGTGGGGTCAAGGGAGTTGTAGTTTGAGGCAGTTTGGTAGTCTGTGTCACTCTCATGATCCCATAGCATTGATCCCATAACTGTAGTATGGAATGGGAAGGCAGCTTGAACTTCCCTGGCCTCAAAGTGGTGGTGTCATGGGAGTTGTAGTTTGATGCAGTTTGGCATTCTATGTCACTCCCTTGACCCCATAGCATTGATCCTATAACTACACTATGGAATGGGAATTGCAGCTTGAACTGCGCAGGGTTCAAGGCAGTGGGATCATGGGAGTTTGAGTCAGTTTGGCAGACCATGGGCCTCATCACACTAGATAATGAATCCACTTTAAATCTGGTTGCTGCCTCCTGTGGAATTCTGGGGTTTGTAGTTTAGGGAAGAGCCTTTAACAGCCTCACTAAACTATAAAACCCAGAATTCTGCAGGAGGCAGAAACCAGATTTAAAGTGGATTTATTCTCTAGTGTGATGAAATAGTATATCACACCCATGATCCCCTAGCATTGATCCCATAACTGCAGTATGGAATGGGGAGGCAGCTTGAACTGCCTAGGCTCCAAGGTGGTGGGATCATGTAGTTTGAGTTGAGTTGAGTTTGGCAGGCTGTATCACTCCCATGAACCCATAGCATTGAGCTCTGCCATTTAAAGTGGGACAAGACTGCATTCATTCTTCGATGTAGATCAGGTATGGGTAACCTTTGGCCTTCTAGGTGTTTTGGACATCAACTCCTACAGTTCCTAACAGCCTTAGGCCCTTTCCTTTTCCCCCTCAGCCACTTAAGCGGGGGCCTGAGACTGTTAGGAATTGTGGGAGTTGAAGTCCAAAACACCTGGAGGGCCAAAATTTGCTAATGCCTAATGTAGACACATTCAAAGTTATAGGTCACATCTTCAAAACAAAACGAAACCCCATGAATGAACGGTACAATATTTAAAATGAAGGTCAAGTTTAATGTAAACAAACCAGTATTTCAATGGGAAGTGTGGGCCTGCTTTTGGCTGACAAGATAGTTTAGTTAATTAGGATTGTTGTTGTGTGCCTTCCAGTTGTTTCAGACTTAAGGCAGACCTAAGGCTAAAGTTTAGGCCAGGGTTGGGTAAATGACCTTGGAGGGCTGCTTGATTCCTTCCTGTGGGCCATAGTTTGGGAAACCCTGCGTTAAAGGCTTTTTTCAGTGTGTGTTGTCTGAGCACTGTAGTTTGAAGCTGGCTTCCAATTTCATTAAATCGTCAGTGTAGATGGAGCCTCAATGTGATAGAATCGTGGGAATTGTAGTTTTACAAGGGCTGCGTCTGTAGAATAAATGCAGGGTCCTTCCACACAACCATAAAACCCAGAATATCAAGGCAGAAAATCCCACAATATGTGCTTTGAACTGAGTTATCTGACTCCACACTGCCACAGTCTGACACTGTTTTGGGTCTTCTCAGCCCAAAAGTACTGTTGCTTCACAGACTGCAAATCCCAGGATTCCATTGCATTGGGCCGTGGCAGTTCAAGTGGTATGAATCTGCATTTATTCTACAGTTCAGATGCAATGTGAAAAACTAATTTTTATTTTGATATGCCTGTAATTGATGTGTTGTTGAAGGCTTTCATGGCTGTAATCACTAGGTTGCTGTGAGTTTTCCAGGCTGTATGGCCATGTTCCAGAAGCATTCTCTCCTGATGTTTTACCCACATCTATGGCAGGCATCCTCAGAAGTTGTGGGGATGCTTGCCATAGATGTGAGTGAAACGTCAGGAGAGAATGCTTCTGGAACATGGACATACAGCCCAAAAAACTCATAGTAACCCTATCTGTAATCGCCTTGGTACCTCGGAAGCCAAGCCCCTTCTCCTCACAAAAGTAGTCCCACAATCATTGAACCTGACCCTTTCCTTCCCTGGAATCAGTGGGTTTTAGAGGCTCTCTGATCTTGAATATAGGCGATTTACCTTTAATATATTGTGTCTATTTGGCATTGCAAAGAATGTGGGATTTGCAAAGCCAAGGGGTTGGAATGGCTTTTTCAGTCCTACTAATTTCTATCCAGCCTCTGTATTTCCAGCCTGGTGCAAGGTATTTTTCTTTGCTGTAGGGAGATTGGGTGTTTTGCAATGACTGATCAGTCTTTCCAGCTTGGCTTTGAGAATTTTGAGATGTGCAGTGTGCTTGTGAAAGGCCTGATTTAATTTGCATCGGTATCTGTAGGAATTCTTAAAGAATGGAAGCCTAAGGGGTATTTGCTATGGGGTGTGTTTGCTGTCATTCAGTGTGAACTATTACAACACAAAAGTAGGATTCTTTTTAAAAAGGGATTTGGGATTTTAAAAGAATTAGGATTTCACTAGGATAAGGGAGAATCATGGGCCTCAAAGATTAGTGGTATGTAGTGATCATATACATTATCTTAGAAATGTATACCCTCCAAATTCCTTTATGTGAAGTTATATAGTTATATGGTGGGTAAAGGAACTGTGTGGCTGCCCAGATATTGTTGGAGTGCAACTTCTAACAAGGATGCTGGGATTTGTGGTTCAATAACATTTGGAAGGCCAAATGTTATTGTTTAGCAGGTGAGGTGTAGTGTGAGGGTTTGAGGTATCTTTATTTTTTACTCTGTGCATGTGGATCAGAAAGCTGAGCTGAGCAGCATAGAATAATATTATCCTTGAGTTGGAAGAGACCTCGTGGGCCACCCAGTCCAACCCTCGCCAAGAAGCAGGAGAATTGCATTCAAAGTACCTCCGACACATGGCCATCCAGCAGGAAATATTCAGTATTCATTAATGTATTGATCTTCCGCTTTTCTCTTAAGATGCGTTTTTTTGCATTGTCACCAGTGACCAGATAATCTTGGGGTGAACGTGGTCATTCACTAAAAATCTAGCAAATTAAAGTGAACGAGAGAGAGAGAGAGAGAGAAGAGAGATGGTTATGTGTACCCATCTTCTGCACACACACACATGTATGGATTTCAGGGCCTGTGAAGAAGTGTATCACAATGAATTTTCTTGGTACACCAAATATGTGTGCAAAAATGATAATGAAAGAAATTTGCTTCTGAAGGTCTTCATGTTAGCTGAACTTGACTGGTAAGTATCCGAGCTTTGGAGTCTATGTCTGCTGTCTCCGTATGTAGTGGTGTGACCCCTATATTACCTCCAGATAGGAAGGAAATATGACATTTAATGAGGCCATGGCTAATTGAAAAGGGCTACTTAGAGTAGACAGTGTTGTCCATTAGCATAGGAGTTACTGGAGGATATTCCTTATATGCCTGGTATCTCATAAAAGATGAAGCATGTGTTTTTCTCCCATGTGGTCTATTTATATCTCTACACAAATAAATCTGTGTAATTTATATTTTCAGTTTTCCATATATAAATATAGCATTGTGAGTGTGGGCTATTCTCTTTCCATTAAATAAGTCGAAGATACAGTAGAGCAGTGTTTCGTAACCTTCCTAATGCCGCAACCCCTTAATAGTTTCTCATGTTGTTGTGACCCCCAACCATAACATTATTTTCATTGCTGCTTCATAACTGTAATTTTGCTACTGTTATGAATGTTAATATCTGATATGCAGCATGTATTATCATTCACTGGTCCAAATTTGGCACAAATATCCGATACACTCAAATTTGAATACTGGTGGGGTTGGTTGGGAGGGATTGATTTTGTCATTTCTGAGTTGTAGTTCACCAATAATCAAAGAGCATTCGGAACTCCACCAAGAAAGGAATTGAACCAATTTTGGCACATAGAACTCCTACAATGAACAGAAAATACTGGAAGGGTTTGGTGGGCATTGACCTTAAGTTTTGGAGTTGTAGTTCACCTACATCCAGAGAGCATTGTGGACTCAAACAATGATGGATCTGGACCAAACTTGGCACGAATATTCAATATGTCCAAACATGAACACTGGTGGAGTTTGGGGGAAATAGACTTTGACATTTGGGAGTGGTAGTTGCTGGGATTTATAGTTCACCTACAATCAAAGAGCATTCTGAACCCCACTGATAGAATTGGGCCAAACTTCCCACACAGAACCCCCATGAACAACAGATAA